TGTGAACCTGCTGAATCAGCAGCTGTGCAGCATCTGAAGCAGAAGCCATCCAGCGACAATGTAAAAGCGTAACAAGAAAACCAAGGTCTTCTTGGGGTATGTTCATTAGATCACCTGCCCTATTCAGCAGTAGATCTGCATTTTTCTTGGTCTTCCTTTTGCTACTAATATACCTGCAGAAGATTCCTTTTGCTCTTCACATCATCACCAGCATCAGCTCAAGCCAAGCTTTGGCCTTCTTAATCCCATCCCTACATGATTGTGTAGTTTTAGACTGCTCCTCGATTGACTGTTCCTGCTTCCCCCTATTACATATTTTCTTTTTATGTTGAGTTCAGTCAGTAGTTTTCTGCATAACCAAGCTGGCCTCATGCACTGCCTGCTTAGCCTCCTGCATAACACTATGGACCATACTTGGGCTTTGAGGAGATGGTCCTTGAAGATCTCCTAATGTTCTATGTCCGTTTACTCTTCACAGCAATATCCCAAGGGAAGTTGCTTGCTAGCTCCCTGAACAAGGGCTTGAGGCTTCCCAAGGCTTCCCAAGGCTTGAAACAGCGATGCTTCTTGCACTTGTCTAAAGAAGGCTTAATCCATTTTGTCTTCTTGCCCAGGTGTTCTGTAGCAGATGCCCACCGTGATGTTACCTGCGTTCACCTTCCCTCTCATCCTGGCCCATAAGCTCCTGACCAGCCAGCCCACCAGCCAGTCCACAGCAGGACTCCATGCATCTGAGCTGTTCCTCTCCCTGCAGAGCATAACCCTCTTGCACATCTCACGTTCCTCCTTCTAAAAAGCATGTATCCATCCATCACAGCACTTCAGCTGTTGGAGCTGTTATAGCTCCTAACTACAAAGGGGCAATGGGTGGGCCAATTCTCTGCCTATCCAGGTCTGCCGTACTGTGTCTCCCAGTCCAATCAATAGAGAGATCTGGGCACTGTCTTGAGGTGACTTGCTATGAACACCTAAATTAGATGGTGCACTTTCATCTCCTGATTATTACACTGAAAAATGCTAATAACAGCCTTGGGGCGAGCCTTTAATCCACAATCCCCATACATCCCATTATAGCCAGAAACATGTCATACATACTCTTCCAGGTTCAGTAGAAAGAATAACTATCCTTTTCTAAGGTAGTCAAGGCAGATGAACAAAGGAAGCCCTCTCTCAAGGATCAGTTTTCCGTGGCAGGACTTCACAAAGTCAGGGACTTCCCTGCTTGCCCATGCACAGTCATGGTTAATGTGCTTGTGTTGGCTTGATACAGGAGGGAGAAAAGCAAGGAGCCACATTGAGGAGGATGTTTTTGAGGTCAGACCTTATTAGGACCAGCAGACTTGGGAATGTGTGTCCAGAAACCACTTGTTTGTGTTTGTTTCTACTGTAGTCAGGGCAAGAAAAAAAAATGCTCAATTTCTTCTTCTGTAAATAAACAAGATCACATGGAGAAATACACTAGATTTATATTATCAGTGTCTCTTCCAAACAGAAAGGCTGTAACCGGTGACAGTGTACTTACATCCTGTTCTTTGAACCTTTCAACGCTCACTCTCACGTGGAGCAAGAACTAGGGTAAGAACATTTCACATTCTCTGAATTGCAGTTTGGCTTCTTCGCTGCAAGCTGTAAAAAGCTCACTGCAAACATTTGCAATTTAGTCTGAGCAGGAACCGTAACTGGTACGTGGTGCTTCCAATGCAGCTTCTTTACAAGATGAGGGCCTCATCTTGTAAAGGAACAGATACCACCAAGGGAGCAGGAACACATACCACCACCATTTGGAAGCCCAGCTCAAGGAAATCCAGACTGACAACCTCTCTTCCTACTGCAAACCACCGCCTGGTTCCATTTCCAGTTTGACTGCTGCTCTCTTTCCCCCGGCACACCTGCAGGTACGAAGGCATCACAAGCAACACACCATCCCCAGGCAAGGAGCAAGTGAGGTGATGGTGCCAGCTGGCTGTGCCAAGGAGCTGCTGGTGGTCCCCCTTTGCTGGAAGGATGGTTGGTTGGCTGGTAGGTGCAGGTTGGGCTTTAAGAGGGCAAGGGAGAGAAGCCACAGAACAACCAGAAGCAATAAGAAGTATCTCCAAAGCTCTGTCAAGGCATCGTGGAATGTTTTGTCTAGCTGATGGAGGAAAGATGGACTGAAAAACATTCCTCCCTGCCCCAGGCAGAGAGGGGACATTTTCAGGATCAGGAAACACCGTGGCACCTTTCACCACTGCAGCAAGCTAGTGAAGTCCCCATTTGGCTACTAGTAATAAAGAGTCACAGTCCTGAACACGTGTAGGAGTGTTAGTCCCCTCATCACACTGGGGCTTAACACTACTAAAATGTCTGGAAAATGGAAAAACGGGGAAAAAAAGTGCTGCTTGCCCATTAAATGCTGCTTTTGGCCTGTCTCTCTTGCACAGAAAAATGAGCAGGCTCAGACTGCCTCACTTTTCCCTCTATATCAGACACTGGCCCCTAACAGGACAAGAAGAACAGGACTGAACCTGAAGGACCAGAGAGAAGGAATCTTCCCTGCCTCCGGCTCCTGCTGCGCCGGCTCACAGGCAGCTTGGTGAGCCCGGTAGCCCTGCTCCTACGTGGTTGCTGCCTTCATAGGTTACTGCTCCAGACTCACCTACAGCACCATTAGGATGGGCTTGAGCTCTCTTTGCTTCTTTCCATACCACAAGGTACCCACACTTCTGCATTATGGCCCCCCTACATCTGGATGTCTCCCCTTGCTCCACCGCCACCTCTCTCCCAGCTGCAACACCCCAAACCTCCCCGAGGGCAGAGTTTCCTTAATCCATCATCAGGCAGATTGTATGTATTTTTTTATTTTTTTTCCCTCTGTCTCTTTTTTTTCCCCCGTTTCTGAGTCGCTGTGTCTCCTGCCAACTTTCTGCCTGGCGTGAATTTCTACAACCGAGGGATATAACTCCTGAAAATAAGACACACCGAGAAGGCCTGACACACCACCCCGCACGGAGCCTCCGAGTGGCAGAACCATAATCAAAAGCCAGTCAAGACACCAGGCCACGCTAGCAGCATTCAAGTAAAGCTCTGAGCAAAGCAGCCCTAAGAGGAGAAAGTAAATGGGGGCTCTCTAAACACAGTTGCACAGAACACCCCCCCACCCCGATGCTTTAAATCACTGTACTCTTTACAGTAGCCCTAGCTCGGGTGAGTTATTCCAATATGCAGGAACCCTTTAAAAATAATAATAAAATAAAATATAAAAATTAATGGAAATGGCCAACCTGCCAGGATTTCCTGATAGGAAACCGAGTGCAAAGCCTCCGGGTAATGAAGCCGGTAGCCCTTAGGAACCAGCCTGAGCTCTGCCTGTCATTAACAAGGGTGGGTTTTTTTTTTCAGGGTAAAACTCTCCTGGGCCAAATAACAGGAGACCGATAAACAAAGCTTGTCAACTGCCCTTTCTGACTCACTCTCTCCTGCTCCAGGGTGACTCACTGTCATGTGTGAAAGGCTGCCAGGTCCTGCTTACATGCTCAAACAAGCATGGGTTGTCTGGTGTTAGACATACATTACCTCAGAAGAAGGCGGCTGAAGCTTAACGCTGAGAAGGCAGCCCTGGAAAAGATTCTGCTGACTCAAGGATCTGGACTTCAAGGTATTTCTCAATCCTTTCTGGAAAGTTCAAGGTTGTTGTTAGATTACCACAGAAAACTTAGTCCCAAAGCCACGGTTGAGGGCTTGGCTGACGATCACAGTGTTTTAAAACCAGGACTCACTAGGACCATGAGATTTCACCCAGGTAATTCCTGTAGAGTGAGCCAGACAGCATATTCTAGGTGCAGACAGAAGTAACTGAGACCATGCCTCTTCCAGAGCTGCCTTTTGTCCAAGGGAAACAGCGTGCCAAAGGCAGTCACTCGTTCCTCACTACTCTATGGTAAGATGGTAGCCCCATGGGGCTGCTCTACTTCAGGACACTGTGAGGAACCTACCTTGAATCTGAAGAGAGGCAAACATGGCATGGTGAACATCATCCCTCAGTCTGAGCAGCTCATCAACTGCTTTTGAGGGACGCTGGTAGCTGCTCAGTGCTTCCTTCTCTCTGCAGTGACATAGACCTTGCAGGTAAGTGACAGTGCACGAAAAACTCATTTGCATCCTGGAGCTCTGCTGCCTACCTGAGTCCCTACCTCCACCATTCGGTCTTCTCCTGTCACCCTGGGCCCACCACAGATGTGTAACCCTGTGAATTTTCTGCCCTGGGCACTGCTGGGACTGTTCATAAATCCCAGAGATTAGCAAATACCACAGACTACACTGCCCTGGGGGACTGATGTGGGAAAGGACACTTGTCCCTCATAGAATCACAGAATCTTTGTGGTCGGAAAGGACATCTGAGATCACAGAGTCCAACCATACACACACAAAAGACCCCCCCAGTCTCAGCCACTAGAGCATCATACTCTTTCTAAGGCCCCATACAGTGCCTGTTTGCTTGGACATGCCAAAGCAAGTCACTTTTGCAAGGACTAGTCTACTGGGATGTCAATTCCCAGACCAGAGTGTCACAGACCTCCGGAGATCATCTAGTCCAACCCCCCTGCCAAAGCAGGGCCACCCACAGCAGGTTGCACAGGACCCTCTCCAGGTGGGGTTTGAATGTCTCCAGAGAAGGAGACTCCACCACCTCCCTGGGCAGCCTCTTCCAGGGCTCTGCCACCCTCACAGGAAAGAAGTTCCTCCTCATGTTTAGGTGGAACTTCTTAGATTCAAGTTTGTGCCTATTTCCTCTTATCCTATCCCTGGGCATCACTACCTAATACCTAATATCTAATGAAAAGCTTGACAGAGAAACAGCAGGGCAGAACAGCCTTGTCCAATGGTAAAAGGACCCACCTGACACGTGGAAAACAAGCCAAGGCCACAATGCCACTTAGGCGTTAATATAACACATGCTAGTCTAAGTGAAGCCACTAAATAATAGCTGTGAACCTGCCATTCAAGTGCTATGTCTCAGTAAGGCAGTTCAGGGCTATCCCACAGAAGGGATCTAGTCCCTGGACTCTTGGTTACCCCAGAAGAGGTAAATTTCTTACGACAATTGTGCTGCAAAATTTCATCCTTTTAAAAACTGAGCCACACGCTGCAAGGGAAAATTGTATTCTTTTTATCCAGCATAGATATAGTTTGCTGAAAAACTTCCAATCCAGGACTAACATGTCAAATTTCTGCTGTTAACAATGATGAAAATATTACCTCTCTGGTTTTCTTCCACTTTTAATCATCCACTATTTTTGTCATTGATTCTTATTGACTATGACAAAGCCAGAGTATCATCCTAAATTTTCCTCCTGCTGCTAATGATTAGCATGTACAGATAGTCTTATAGGTAAAATGACACTATTTCTTACCATGAATTCATCTTGTTTCAAGATACTGTCATCCCAACTGCATATTTTAAGTTTGAACATCTAAGATCTGCTTTCCTTCTCGTGTAAAATCAATGAAAAAAATAAATATATATATCTCTCTCATCAAAAAGATAAAATGAAATGAAGACTGGGTGGATATTTTAAATTACAGCTTTTCTCTTTGCTATACTTATTTCACAATGAGTCAGAAATCAGGCTAGATATATCTGAAAATAAAATGAGAGATGCTGGAAATAAAAAAAAGAAGTAAACACAATATATTAAAGATTTCAGAGTAACTCCCTTTAAAAGCAAAATTTCAGCAGCTTTGAGACTGTAGTAAGTCACATCCCCTGATTGCTTTGCTAAACCTTTAGAAAAAGAGGGTTGACATTAAAATCAATAATCATATCGATCTGAGGCTGTTAAAGCCCTTCTCAAATTAAGTCAGTAAAATAATCTTCTCAGAAATAGTGCAACGAAGACATTAAGATCAAGGAAAAATAGTGACAGAACCAGGGATTACAGTCCACGTCTCCAGTCACCCAGTCAAAGCCCTTCTGTGCGACGCTACCCCACCTCTGACAAATTAATTAGGCTTCTTAAGATGCAATTTCAAAGTGATTTACTTATCATCGTGAAACCATGCCACTTGACACTTCTAAGATGATACCACTTCTGCCCGTTGCACCTTCTGCCATTGCTCTTGAGAGCTCAGTGCTCTGACTACTTTTGGGTGGTTCTTAGAGGTGGCAAAGGGAGGTCATTTGTCCGCATGGAGAAACTACTCCTTATTCTTCCTTCTTCCTGTTCTTCCTCTTCCTTTCCCTCCTTCTCCTTCATAGCCTCATCAGACATGTTCATCAAAGACACTAACTCATTGAAAGGAGCTCCAATGATGCCCACCCTAGTAGAAAACATTGTGTTAATCTGCTTGACATTATGAAACACAGGAAAACAGGAGAAAGGGGGACAGATTTGTAACATTTCCTAGGTAAACCAGCAAGGAGCCTTTCCTCCTTAGCTCTCCCCCAAGGGAAAAAACAAATAACCACGCTTACATCCTCAGCACCTTACACACCACGTCATGTATAGCAGCCTTCCAATATCTGAAGGGAGCTACAGGAGAGCTGGGGAGGGACTCTTTATGACAGTGTAGTGACAGGACAAGGGACAATGGTTTTAAATTGGAAGAGGGGAGATTTAGATTAGATACCAGAAAGAAATTCCTTGCTGTGAGGGTGGTGAGACACTGGCCCAAGTTGTCCAGGGAAGTTGTGGCTGCCCCATCCCTGGAGGGGTTCAAGGCCAGGCTGGATGGGGCTTTGAGCAACCTGGTCTGGTGGGAGGTGTCCCTGCCCAGGGCCGGGGGGTTGGAACTGGATGATCTTTATCTAACCATTCTATGATTCTATTACAATTGCAGTTATATTTCAAAAGTACAATGTAGTAACAACATTACTTTTTCAGAATAAAGTACATCGGTAATGTCTGATCAGAAAACTATTAAAATCTAAAGGTCAGGAAAATATAATAAATTGGAATGAATCACGAGAGGGAAAAAAAATAAACAACCCATTTTGATTTTAAGAGGTTTTGATTAGAATCATAGAATCGTCTAGGTTGGAAGGGACCTTAAAGATCATCTAGTCCAACCATCAACCTAACTCAAAGATTAATTTGTGTTCAGATTGATGTTAAAGCCTATTTCCTCTCCCCCAAAAACGAGTACAATGTAGTAACAACATTACTTTTTCAGAATAAAGTACATCGGTAATGTCTGATCAGAAAACTATTAAAATCTAAAGGTCAGGAAAATATAATAAATTGGAATGAATCACGAGAGGGAAAAAAAATAAACAACCCATTTTGATTTTAAGAGGTTTTGACTAGAATCATAGAATCGTCTAGGTTGGAAGGGACCTTAAAAATCACCTAGTCCAACCATCAACCTAACTCAAGATTAATTTGTGTTCGGATTGATGTTAAAGCATATTTCCTCTCCCCCAAAAACATTTCAAAGCTTTAACAAAGCCCTACGATGGGCAGCAGCTGCTTTGCCATCAGCTACCTCTGCAAGTTTCTGATGCTCTGAGGTCAATCACCTAGTCCAACCATCAACCTAACTCAAGATTAATTTGTGTTCGGATTGATGTTAAAGCATATTTCCTCTCCCCCAAAAACATTTCAAAGCTTTAACAAAGCCCTACGATGGGCAGCAGCTGCTTTGCCATCAGCTACCTCTGCAAGTTTCTGATGCTCTGAGGTCTCTGAAGACCTACACTCCTCTTCCTCTCTCATTCTCGTGCAGACCAAACCCTCAGTCCCATGGCCCCTCTCCCCAGGAGGAAGAGTTAGCTGTCCGACAGCCTTCCTCACAGCGCTACCACATCTATTGATGCAGAGAAACAGCCCCTTACTCAGTAGCCAACAATTCGGAGAAGTCCGGCAGGCAGTCACACGTGCAAGACCCAGGGTCTCTGCCCTGACAGTAGTGGTTCTGGGAGAAGTGCTGGGCACTGTCCTTCACTGAGGGCAGCAGCGTGCTGAGCACTGAGGAGCGCTGGTGAATCATGCTGGTTATGGAAGGACGCTTGGGACGGACTTTGCTTGAAAGAAAACAAATGCAGGTGTTAGCTCAGTGTATTCAGGCAGGGCAGGATCCCTCGGGGACTCACCAGTGTGTCCAACGTGTACCTCAGATAGGGCAATTGCACTGTGCTTGCAGCAGCAGTCCGGTCTCCTGCTTTCTGCAAGTCAACATTGTTCCTGTCTCTCGAGGTGGGATCGAACACGTTGGAGTGGAAAAGCCTGCCGATTTCTTCCTGGATCACTTGGAAGTGCTTCCGCCTGAACACAAGCCAAGCCATGTAGCTGCAGAAGTTGTAGAAGCCCTAAATGGAAAACAGAGATCCTCTTTTCACCGGGAAAAGGCCCGGAGTCCCACTGCATCCCAGAGCACGGGTTGGTGTGACTCCACTAAGATGCCAACAACCATTCAGCATTAATCTTTATCAGGCACACATCAGGGAAGATTGGAAAGGATTGTTTTTTTAAAGGTGTGCAGACAAATGAGGCTAGAAACAGAGTTAGCGTAGATGGATTCCATCCTGCTCAGCTCTGAACAATTTGGCTTAGTCTTGCTGCTAGAAACCAAGGAGATAACCTGTGATCACCACCCAGTTTCCCTCAATAATCAATGGAAAGAGACCAATGGGATGAGTCACTCTGTGGGGGTTTCTATCGCGCACGTCTATCTCAAGAGGCAACAATCCACCCTCTGGCTGAGCTTCTCTTTTCTGCATTGGCTGTCACAGCAGCCAAAGAACATGGTCTGACTGGACAGCTATTGTTTGGGCAGCTGCAAGTAGACAAGATCATCCCCACCCTGATTGATGGCAATTATCATCACAGAAAATATTACTACCAAAGATGAACTCACCTCGTCTCACCTCTGCATGTCTGCTTGCTGATTGAAAAAAACTCAAATTTACCTTTTCACTCCTATTTAACACTTGTGATCCCTGGCATCAACCCCCAGTATGTCCAGTCTCTCTGATGAGTCTGGTCTTGAAAAGATGGCATTGCTGGGACTGCTGTGTGCCCTTGGAATTGAGTCCACACTTCCCCTTTTTCGAGGAAAGGCTTCATAGTTTATGAAGTATAAAGCATAATTTGGGCTGAGCTGTTTTGTATCAATTTGCTGAAGCCCTCCTACATAGCGAGCTGCACAAGTGGCTGATGGAGCTGTATGTTGCAGGTCAGAAGAGCTTCTTGGCATCTAGAAATGTCACCAAGGGCAATGGAAATGAAAGAAGGCTGTGAAATCTCCTGCCTACAGAGATGAGGCCAATGATGAGAAGAAACCCACAGACCAGGTTTCCTAGAGGGACCTCAGGCTGTAGTGGGAACTGCCTGGGGTCCAAGAGCCACAGAGGGACTTGAAACTCCCTGGCTGAGGGCTCCGAGGGCAAAAGGCTTGGGCTGGAGGGCAAAGAGATGGCATCTTACAGGGACATCTAGCCCTAGAGGTAAAATTTTATTCTAGATACTCTGCCGAGTAAACTACTGGGGGAACCAAAAAGAAAAAGAGCATTTGGATGTGCAAGGGAGGGACATGCTCTGGGCTGACAGTCACACTCTCCGTGTATCTTGGTGTCTTTCTTACCTCAAAGAAGCTCTGGTCTTTCTGCGACGATGTTTTTCTCCTAAGGCAGTGAACAAGAGCACAAAATTAATAGCAGCAGTCATCCTTCCAGCTCTCTGAACAGAGGACTGAATATCACTCAGGGGGGCTATGCCAAGCCCGCATTTCACCAGGGCAATAAAATTGCTGCTGGTAGATCCTTGTTACTAGCATGCGGAGACCCACTGTCCAAGAGAAAGGCAGGACTTCTGCATTGCCTCAGAAGGAGAAAATGCAAAATGTTGTATGGCTCTGTTAATTAAATCTGGCAGAGAACAAAGCGGGATGTGACGAGCAGGCGAGGCTCCCCTGCTACGCTCTCCAGTCTGAGCTCTCTGCATGGGCCTCTCAAAAGCGGTCAGCGCTGATCTAACCCAGTTCCCACTGAAGTCAATAAAAAACTCTTCCTGCCATCCCTGGCAGAGCAACGAGCAGAGTTACTGAGGGCACAAAGCCAGGCCAATGCTAGAGACAACGAACTTGAAAACCAGGAAGGAGACGCTTGATGCATCTCCAAGAAGAAATGTAGAACATGCCCAAGAACGACAAAGGGCCTTTGTTAAAGACGCAGCAATTTGCCCAGTGGAAGCCTGAGAGATGCTCTCGCCACCCGCTTGAGCTCAGGGATTCTCATACAAAGCCAAATGACTGTACACCATTGAAACAGCCATTAAAGCAGAGGGTGGTGCACACATCCCAGCAGCCACTCAGTTCTCCTGGAGATGGCACAACTCACCCTCATGGAAATGAAAGCAGATTTTCCATGCCAGCCTACAATTCCCCACAGATCTGGCTCGGTCCTGCCAGGTGCACAGGAAAGCCTGTTTCCACATCAACTCACCAGCTCCTGATACATCCCTTATCTTCCTGAGAACATCAAGGGTCTAGGGTATCCTCGTGTACTATCACTCCAGAAACATCAATGCAGAGCAGACTGTGCAGATAGAGCCCTATTGCTCAACTTAGCATCTTCTGACTTTTCTTTATTGATTTTTTTGATCAAGAAGGCCATGTATGTCCCTACCCGGCTCCCACCAGCCATAATCATGCTGACACTTCACATATTGTGCAAGGGAAAAGAAGCTTGACTCTGTGAGCACGGCATGGCCAATTGCCAAAGCAGAACTCCTAGAACAATGCTGATGCTTTTGATTGCTTATGAATTCTGGTAAAGCACTATATTCTGTCTTGAGAACACCAGAGTGGAGAGACCTAAAGTAGGCACAGCTTCTTAAACCTAAATATGAAACCCAGCTTCACCTTTTAACATTACAGAGCTTGAGCAGAGAAACCTATGTAGTGGCCAGCAATGCAAAATAATACTAACATAGTCAAACAAGGCCAGGGGTCTCCATCCTTCTTTCTCCCATTGCTTTCTTCCCTCAGGTGAGATATTAAGCTCAGAGACTTGCTCAGAGTAAAGTTTCCTAAAATAAATGTCGAACTAGGAGGTACCTCCCATGTCTAAGGCACAGCTGCTAATTACCTAGGAAAATACAGAAAGGGTCAGGAAAACATCAAACTTGCCACAAGATTCAGGCGGGACTTGTAAGAGACGTGAGTGAGTGAGCAAAGAGCATCATGTCTGCTAGAACTATAGTAACACTGATTTCTCAGAGCTGCGAGGGGGACGGGGAGAGTTTGTACATAAAAGAGGACATCAGTTTTTTTCAGTGGTGCCCAGGGACAGGACAAGAGGAAATGGGCACAAAACTGAATCTAAGAAGTTCCACCTAAACCTGAGGAGGAACTTCTTTCCTGTGAGGGTGGCAGAGCCCTGGGAGAGGCTGCCCGGGGAGGTGGTGGAGTCTCCTTCTCTGGAGACATTCCAAACCCGCCTGGACACGTTCCTGTGCAACCTGCTCTGGGTGGACCTGCTTTGGCAGGGGGGTTGGACTAGATGATCTCCAGAGGTCCCTTCCAACCCCATGTGATTCCACAGGGGCACATGGGGAAGAAATGCTTCCTTGTGCCATGTAGCAGCTCCTTCCACCACAGCCACGGCGGCGGTAATTGCCTGTGGATCAAGGCAGCCTCAAGGAGCAGAAAGGGCCGGCTCGACTGCGTTTGCGCCGGGGATGCATGCGGCTTCGGGAACACGCTGTGTTTTTCCCATGATGACAAATGCCCATAAGGAAACTGGCACCACGAGAAGGTTGCACAACCCCCATCCACTTAAAAGGAGAAAGCCAGACACACCTATTCCTTCCTCGGCATCGCAGGCACAAAAGGACTGATGCTAACACACACAAATAACAGGTCTGGAGTAACTCTCTCAAATTCCAGTCTGGGATAGTATCAAGATAGGGTTTTAATGCTGCCTTTTACAAATCATGTAAATTGTTCAGATGAAGATGTTCTCCACCTAAGCCTCTTTTTTTTAAACTTTCAGAGAAAACCTTTACATCAATAATTTCATATGAACACATAGACTTTTGGCAGATCTGGAAGGGAAAGCAGTTTACCAACATAGTATAAGATTTCATTAAAATGTTGAATTATATTCTATGCTGAATTAGAACAAAAAGCAAAAGCTTCAACACCATCATGAACCCATAGTTGGGTTATAAGAAAATATAGTAAAACCGAGGGTGGTACATTATCAATAATTCCGCAGCTTTTCAATCAAAACATTTTTCAGGTTAACAAAAAAAAAAAAAAGACAACTCACCAAAGGTAACCCTCATCACAGTTTCTGTTTTGATGAAGGAACTATCCCATGCAAAAACATGTGTGCTCAAAAAATCCCTAACCATCTTTTACAAACTGGAGTGTTAATCAGTTCTGTCCCTTAGCTCTTGTTTTTGGCAGTTCATATAATGGTCTGGGAGGATCCAGATAACATTTAAGGCTACACTGAGTCAGCCTGGAAAAAGATTATATTTATATAATTACAGTATGGTATGGGAAGTGCCATATATTATACACGCTCAGCATTAGACTAACTCTGAAGTCAGCTACTGCCACTCTGCCATGAGTAACACAGTGAGGTCTCTCTTCATACAGCAGCTTACATCATGAAGGTTTTAAGACACAGCTCTTTTCTAGCCTTTTTTTGTGTTTTCACAGCCTGGACACCAATATCCCAGCCCACTTCCAGACTCTCACCCCTACTGTGATGGAAATATTAAAGAACACGGTTTCTTCTTTCAGCTCTCTGCTCTCATTCCCACCCTGCTGAGTTTTTGCCACTAGACCTTTTCCTTGTCTCAATCTTGGACATTCTGGGAATGAGCAAGTGGAAAGGCAGCAGAGCTAACTAGCTGAGTATCTTGCATTCAAGCCGTTCTTGCATTCAAGTTACTTTCTGCAATAAGTTCCTCTGACACTAGGGCCACCCAGCAGAAATAAAGAAATGCTGTCATGACCCTCTGCGTCCAAACCAGCGATGAGGTGAAGAAGATGCCTCTGCCCAGCAGGAATCTGGGAGCAGGGATTTGGCACAGAAGGCTGCTCCCGGGAGCGCCCGGTGAAATGCCAGGATGCAGAGGGAACTCATTCTTAATTCTGAGGGTCCAGCACCTTGTGGGATGGGGCACACTAAAAGGAAAGCCCCGTTGGGACAACAGTTTCAACTCCCCTTCGACTCCATCATTACACGGGTTACCTTCTCCCCTTGATTAGAAGGAAACCAAGGTTTCCCCACCCCAGCCAGGAGCAAGGCTGCCCTGAACAGTGTTGCAAGAAGGCAGGTGAATGTTTGTGACTCCTCTGAGGGACTGGCAGCAGTTTCACACTGACTGAAAAAAAAAAAAAATGCCTGGAACTGCTCTGAGAAGATCCCATGGGACTGGGGTGCTTGGTGGGGACTGCCAGCTCTTTTCGACTTCCAGGGAAAGGGAACACTGTGCAGGAAACATGGCTGAGGGAAGAATTCCTAACACTAGCATGGGTGTTATCTCTGTGTCATTACATTCTCCTTCCACTAACCATTTTTTTGTGGTGCTTATCTGCTGGCCAGCGTTAAACCACAACAACTTCATCACCTGTTAAAACTCCCCTTTTCTTGTCCTCATCATTCCCTTGATTTCTCTGCCTTTTCAAACACCCTTCCACCCCACCCTCTCCTGTCTTCTTCAGGTTCTTTCCTGCTCAGAGCTAGGAGTCCTACACTTCCAATGCTGAAGCACAAACTCTTCTCATCTCTACTCCACTTGCTGCCCTTCAGGAACACGGTCTCCTTCACTTGTTAGACTACTCTTATGCTATCTCAGACTTGGAAATTTATGCAGGGAGCAGTGGCAACCAGCAGATACATAACCATGTACTTTCAAAACTTAGTAAGTATAAGTGGTAGGGGTAAGATCCAGGGCTGGCATTCCTTTTTGGCCTGCTGACTTTCATGTTGAACCCATCAAAGTTTCCTGTCCTGTATATCTAGCAAGGCTTCCGCATACCAGGGCTAGAGCTTTCCAGTCTGGTATCCAGAGCTCCTGTGCAACTTGTTGTGGCCAGATCAGCTGGCAACAGCTCACCCGAAACACTCTTGGAGTTACTTAACAGGTAGAGCTGCAAGATGAGAACACTTCTCTGTCTCATGCTCTCATAGCCCTCAGTAACTCCGTAGCTCAGAAGATGTTTGTTACCCTGGGCATTCACTCAAGTCATTCAACAGGGACCTTGGGCTGCTGTGGTCCTTGACACAGTGAGGGTCCCCAGAAGGGAAAGCTTTCCTTGGCTTACCTTCCACTAGGCACATGGTGCTGCCGTGCCATGCCTCGTTCAAGGATAAGGTTAGAGTACACCTTGGCCAGGTGAATCCTAGCCACCAATAACTTTGCCAACACGTTCTCCATTTCTTTCTTCTCTACAAAGATCATTGTCCTGTTTAAAACAAAAAGGAAGAAAAGTTTTCAGGGAAGGTGCCTTGGACAGAAGGGATGCTAGAAAGAGTGAGAAGTTCCTGAGAAGTACCACTACCCCTCTGCAGCAAGGCTGGGCTCAGATGTTTCCAACTGCAGCTTGGCAAATGCCGGTGGGGCCACAAAGCCTGGGGCTCGGACGCAGACAGTCTCTCTTGCCCTGCACAACTTTAAAAGCTGCATGCCCATAACCTGTCAGGTTGCCGCCTTTGATCCTGCACTGCTTATGAATCCTTCTAGCAGCCTGCATGAAAATCCTGGGGGTGCATTTAGATATCTGTGGGTGCAGGCTCTGTCAGCGGGTGGCCTGGAGCGGTGGGTCTGGCTCATTGAGAGACAGCACTTACTTCTCTTCAAAAAGGCACATGAAGCGCTTTTGGGACTGCCTCTAAGCAGGAATGGCTAAAACCGCAAACCTGTATTTTGAACCAACTCAGATCAAACACAAAGGGAAATGCCAAACCAAAGAGCTTTCTGTTTCCTCTGCTTCCCCTGTAATCCAACCCGACTGTCTCCCGGTGCCTGGGAGCGCTGCCGGCCAAAAAGTTACCAGCCTCCTTTCACACTCAAGAGAGTTGGGTTGGTTTTTTTTTTTTTTTATCTGTCCCATCCCTGATGGCCTCCAGCTCTAAAGCTTCCTACACAACCCACCTTTAATAAATTAGGACAATTACTCTGGGCTTCTCAGGCATAATTGCTAATAAAATTCAGCAGATTTTCCTCAAAAGACATGAAAGGGTTGGAAGCAGAAACAAACAGAAACTAAAGGGGAAAGAAAATGCAGGACAGAAATAATAGCCCTTGTTCCATTCATGTCTCATCCGCCACTGCTGAGTTTTTGTTCTTAGAGTCACATATTTCAGAAGTGAGTACTCCCAAGCTGTCTCCGATGAGAGAATGCCTCATCTCCACTGCTTTGGAAAACTGGTTGGTTGGTTTTGAAGTTAGTTACAAGATCGTCCTGAACCCAGAAGCCAGGAAAGCTTCAGACTTGGATTTACAAAAAATCGAAGTTCAAAAAAAAAATCAAAAGTCACAAGAAGACAAAGATGTCCATATCCATCCTGACATTCTCTGATAGGAACCCCTTCCAATACTTTCTTTTCAAAAGAAAGTTTAATGCACAGAAGCAATGACTTCTGAAGCCAGGGTGGTCTTAGACATTCTCTTGAGGCACTGTGGACACTGATACTTCTGCACGATCTAGGTTCAAGACAGTTGAGGAGCTATTCAGACCATCAGGGCTGGCTTTCTGTGGACAACAGTAGTCCCAACAGATGAGTTAGGCATCTCTCATAGGCAGCCCAACTGGCAGGAACCCCAAAAAACATCAACCAGGAGCAGGAATAACCAGCACCGTTTTCTGTGTTACTGGGTTATCACACAGGGTCTACAAGAAGAGCAGCTCGAGGACTGCACAGCCGTTGGATGTGTCTGTCATATAGGAACGTCAGGCTGATAAATGACTCGGCGAGTCACCAAACCCAGTCTCCAAATAATCTGTCTGTCAGATTAAGCGGGAGCAAATTATAGGTGTCACTAACGAGGCACATGAAATGGTATCGGCATGTCTTGCCTCCAGTCTGTCTCTACTTGTGGCACACAGCCAGCACTACACAGGAAAGCAAAAAAGCCTATGAAACTAAATTACATCCTGGAGGAAGGGGAAGGAAGTTTCCTTCCCAAGCAGGCAACTAGCAACAGCCCTGAGCACGGGATTTATGTGGGATAGATATGGGGAAACTAATGGCTACGCAATCTTCTTTCACATTCTCTCAAATACATCAGCATATCACAAACCCAAGGATTCTTATCACAGGTGTAATTTTATGTCATTATGACTCTATTATGTAGTTATAAAATCCCTTTCACAAGCTCATGGAGCTCCACCTTCAGAAAAAAAAAAAGTAGCTTTCTTGCCTGCCCCCACTACTTCCTACTGGACAACCATTCCAGAACCTTACTCCACAGGAGGAAAAAGACAGTCTTTGCTACATTTGATTTGAAACATAGCACGTTCCAAGTTTGGAATTAGACCAAATGGATAATAAAGGAAATAGGAGGTCTTGAACAGGGAAAGAAAATGCAGTGTCAGAAAACTCTTCACATCGTGATTAATATCTCTCTGCTTCACCAAGTCAGCTAAGATGCTAGAACAATTTAGGATGAAGTTAAATATTAAATAGGAATTGAAAATGCCATAAAATGTCATTTTATTTTCCTTTCCTGCATTTACACTTCAGCAGATCAATATCCTGACTTCCTGCTTCTGCACGGTGTCTCTTTAAGCTGCTCTGATGTTACACTGCGTACAGGTAATCCTGACAAGCCAGCCACTTCCCTTCAGGGAAGGTAACGAATGTATATAAAACAGTATTGTAGAATAACATCCCTTTGGGAAGCAGAGAGTCAGGATATATTTCCCACCAGCAGGCAGGGGTCAGTTTGGGAGCGCTGCATGCCAGAACACACTGCAAAGTCTCTCTTGGCAGGATTTATCCAGTGCTTGCTTATAGCTGATACCTACTAACTGGAGTCCCCCGGATCTAGGAAACATAACCCTATCTTGCAGGAGCTCCAAACTCCTCTTTGTTTCAGTCTGTTTCTGTCTTTGCCACACCAACAGATGATATGAGCCGTTTTGAGATGTCACAGCCCACAGAGTGGCCTCCTTGTCCTTTACCAGCCCGGAGCACCTCAGCTGAATCTATGACTTTTGTGTATGAAACTATGCTGGTGGTTTTCTTTATTTATGAATTATTCCTTGCACAATGAAAGAAATACCTGTCTATCTATGGATATAGAACAAATCAATTCCTTAAGGGCAGCGATCCTCCAACAGTCTTTTCTTCAATCCAGATAAGTCATCCCCTTTTTCTATCAAGGGCTTCACAAACTGTGAAGTAATTTAAGAAAACGGTCGATCACTTTCCAGAGACTATTGCAGACTCCAGAAAATCATTGAAGTTTCTTACAACCATAGTTCTTAACTCTGCAATGCCTTCTCTCAAGGCATATAACCCTCTAACACAGCAGCTCCTAAACTACGCCCCTGGCATCGCCACTTCCACTCTGCAAGGCAGCCAAGTGTGGTCACACACCCTTACCCGGGAACTGCTTTCCTAGCAGATATTCCTCGTGTTGTAACACGTTTCCAGCGCCTAAGAGTCATCTGAACCTGCTTTGCCAAGTATTTAGAAATGAAGTCTCAAAGCAATGTGACCCACAGCACAAGTTAACACCCAGCAGATTCAGTTGGGACTATTCGGTGCCCTGTATTGCAGGCAAAGATGACTGGATGCTAATGTTATTGCTGGGAAATGGCATTAAGGGAGGGGTAATTCGATCCAGGGCACTCGCACAGATTTAACCTTGGTGGTAGCAGTAGAGATTTATTCAAATTGCAGCATTACCTTGAGAAGCCAAATTATTTGGTGACTGATTCCAGATTTGCTCGGGCAAGCTCTGTGCACTTACACCCCTAAAGACTTGTACTCACGAAATCAAGGATCTGTGTTTCTTTTCCAGGGCGAGCTTTTCGAGGTAAAAAGATAGGTAGAAGAGCAGGGCCATGAGGAACTCGTCTATTTTCTCATTCCTAAATGGAAGGTAGAAAGGTGACTGTGAAGTCTGCTGATTCGGGTTGACATAGCGCTTAGAGACACAGTTTAGTAACATGGGGACGTCTTTTGTACAGTTTTCTTTTGTGTTTTGTTTTGTTTTTTCATCAGAGTTAGGATGATGGTTGGACTAGATGATCCTAAAGGTCCCTTCTGACCTAGAAGACTCTATGATTCTATGATTTGCAGATAGAGACACCACCAGACCGTTAGGAAAAAGAACAATGTCTCTGCTCAAGGACCTGCATTATACCAAATATTAGCTAGACGGCTGAGACCCATTTGTAGGAAGCACTTCCCCCCACACTAAAACATTAAAGGCTTTTAGAGAATTATTAACAGAGTCTAATAAACGCGCTGAAGAGTGGATTGAATTGAATATTACCAGGCACACATCCAAGAAGCATGTTTTCTGCACTGAACATGCTGGAAGAGTGGCATTCATATTCAAAGGAAAAGGGGGACAACTAGGACACCTCTTCCCTTATGAAATGACAGTGCCATGAAGGCTTAACAAGGTCTACAGATGCATGCAGCCACTGTGCAGCCCTGGTGATCCCAGGGGTATGCCTCTGAGATGTAATGCTCCACCTGCTGCCTCCTTGCTTTTAGCCTATAGAGAATCACAGAATCCCATAGGGTTGGAAGGGACCTCTGGAAATCATCCTGCACTTGCCTTTGTTGAAGTTCATCAGGTTCCTCTTTGCCCAACTCTCCAGCCTGTCCAGGTCTTGCTGTATGGCAGCACAGCCTTCCATCATGTCAACCACCCCTCCCAGTTTTGTATCATCAGCAAAGTAATGCTTGGCTGACATCAGAAGTAATGCTGATAAGTGACAGCAGCAAATAATGAGCCCTGTAGCTCCGACGGGAACTGCAGCAGCACAGGAAGGTGGCCCAGATTCCCAGCCCTGTTGGCACTCCTGGTGCACACAGTGCTGCGGATGCACTGGCCAACATGGAATTTAACTTAGAGTAAAATGGATAACAACCTTCGGATATTTAAGCCCAAGTTCCCGGCTTCCTTTAGGTAACAGAGTGGAAGGCTTTCAAACACACCACAGGATTATTTCTCTGCACGTGTTTTAATGGTTTCACATTGGAAGAGGGGAGATTTAGATTAGATACCAGAAAGAAATTCTTTGCTGTGAGGATGGTGAGACGCTGGCCCAAGTTGCCCAGGGAAGTTGTGGCTGCCCCATCCCTGGAAGTGTTCAAGGCCAGGCTGGATGGGGCTTTGACCAACCTGGTCTGGTGGGAGGTGTCCCTGCCCAGGGCAGAGGGGATGGAACTAGATGATCTTTAAGGTCCCTTCTAACTTTAACCATTCTACAATTCTATGTTGAGGACAAACATACATTTGGTATTGTTTCCCACTGAACCTCCCAGGTGAGAGATTTTAAACCTCTGATATTTCATATCCCACTTCACACACGCCCTGGTGCATCCACTACCGGCTACACACACTTAATTCCTGAAACAAACTCTAAATGACATACCCTGAGACTGCTGCAAATGATAGCATGGGATGTGACTCATTTGCTTCTTTCAAAAGCAATGCAGCATCTGAAAACATACAGAGGAGAAATACAGTATTTCCTCAAAAAATTGCTAGCGTTAGTAGAAAAAGCTTCCTAACTCATATGGGCGATGCCTTGCTGACATGAAATACCAGCAGTTACTCACGTTTGACATCATCCAACGTCACATATTCATGTTGTACCCTCTTTGACAGCCCATGCAATTTTCCTTCGGTGTCAGCCAGCCTTCTTTCAGGAAGCATTGCACTGCACTCCTCTTGGAAGACGCTAGTGGTTGACCAACACATGACATTTAAGGACACACTGTTAATTCCAGTCTGAGGATATTAACATTATCTACCTGGCATGTAGTCTCTTCATTGCACTCAGTTTCAAAGGGACAGGCAGGGAAATGTGTTTGGCAGGTCTCCTGAACTAACTTTCAACTACTACAACCACAAAACAGGCCAGGGTTGTCGGGAGAAATAGGACATTTCAGCTCTAAGGTTGCGTCTGAAGATGCTCTTTTAGTTGCTAATATAATAAATTGTGACTACATTATTTAGATCAAAGAGGTTTTAAGTAATGGATGAAAGTCAGCTGTACCGTGTTGTGAATTTATAAAAGTATTAATAATAATAATAATAACACTTTAATCTTTGAAGTGCCCTACACAGATGAATTAATTACCTCACAATACTCTTTAGGGTAGATGAGAATTATTACCTCGTTCTGAGCGATCTGGAAACAGCAACAAAGATGCTGAATGACTTTACCAAAGTCATACCAGGCCAGTGCCTGAGCTAGCATTCAACACCAGGCATGTCTGGCTCTGTTTTTATGTTCTGACCACTCACCTACCCTGTTGAAATGACAGCTGGCTTCCTCTTTCCCCTGCTTTGTTCAGACACGATCTTCAGACAACGGATGAAAATATTCTCACCCAAATGATCACATTTCTATTTGAGCTAGGCTGCTCATATTGAAATACCTCTTTAATGCCTTGACATGCATTTCCTGAAAGTGAGTATTTTTTCTTTCCTTAGAGTTTCCCTCAGCTGCTGGTTTTGAGCTGAAATATAGAGTATAAGCATACAGAAGTACAAGTTTAAACAAAGAAGTCAACATCTCATGATACAAAGGCATATCTATTTTGGCCTCTAACTGACACTAAGAAAACAACTGGGTTTTGGAGAGGTCAATGTGAGACATTGCTTTCAAGAACACAGGAGCAAAGAGTGAAGGGGCTTCCTCAGGTCCTCCTGCTCTGTCTCCTGCCACCATACACGCTGCACCATGTAAAGCCTTCAAGCAATCAGTGTCTCAATTGGCTTTAGGAAGATTTTAAATGCAAACTGCTCTGTTCCAGAGCTTTTCTTTGGGATCATTGAGGGCAGAGACAGGCAGAGGTCACCAGGGAGCTCACGCCTCTCCCTGGAGAGCTACCAGGCAGAGTCAGCAGCGTTCCCAAGCCCAATAGAGAAGTTGGTTGGAGCTGCTGAGACACAGACCATGAAAGGCACCTGCAGTAGTCGTATGACCAGGAGAGAGGTGAGCAGCCTGGCTCCACCATGACAAAGGCTGGGGAAATGACTGTCCCACCACTGCCCTGCCTGCCCCGCACTTGAGAAGAGAGCAGGAGGAATACAGTCCGGCTGTTGGTTTGTTTTTTATATAAAGCCTCAATTCACAGCTGCCAGAGGAATTCAAAGCACAGTTACGTGCACTTTGTCCCCTGCAGAGCTGTGGTTTCCCTGAAGGTTTGCAGTCCTCCAGTGTTCACTATTGCACGGGGTTATATCCAACATCAGCAACAGGGAACATCGGTCTGTGGACCTTCACGTATAGACACCTGGGGTGGCATTCGAACCATAGATTCATTCCGCTTGGGAAAGACCCTTGGAATCATCGAGTCCAACCATCAACCCCACTCTACATACAGTACCCGTACACCATATCCCCCAACACCACATCTAAAACCACACCAGAATTACAGAATCACATGGGGTTGGAAGGGACCTCTGGAGATCATCTAGTCCAACCCCCCTGCCAAAGCAGGTCCACCCACGTTGCCCAGGAACCTCTCCAGGTGGGTTTTGCAGTTGATGCTCGGGTAAAACAATATCAGACTCTGATTTTACCTTACTTGGAACTGCTGTATCAGGACCTAAACCTGCATAATTTGAAACTAAACATCATTCTTTTACCTTGCAAATTCAAGAGTGTTAGTATCATCCTTCCAGTACCACACACCTGGAGTTACTTGTATCTTCTGCAAGAAAACAGCATACAGAGTACACGTCATAAATCTATACTCGATGTTCTCAGCCCAGTTCAACAAAATATTTATAATGCAAGCACTTTGCAAATGGGCCACTTTCTATCTTTCTTAAGTCTGCTTTTCACCCAGATGTTGTTGGTTTGTGAGCTGTTGAACAGAAGTTCTCTGAGATTAAAGGGTGACAGCATAAGAAAGAAAAATGGGTATTTGTCCTTTTTTATGTCTTCCAGGATATGCATAAATAATTGAAAGTTTGCTAAAGAACACCAGTTCTTTGATTGTCAGTGAAACAATAAAGACCAAGAAATCAAATAGAGTCATGCATTAAACAATACATTGGTTTTATATGGGGTTTTTTTTATAATATTTATGTAACTGTAGAGACTAAGTATCAGGAGAAAGGAAATCTTTGTTTAAAAATGGAATATGTTATGCACTTTCCTGATATTCTGAGAACTTTACATAAACACCAGATAGACCTTTCAGGGGACACTGGACAAGACTACTAGAAACACCATTTACAGTATCTATATTTTTTTTTTAAATTCATACAAAAAATAAGATCTATGAGTCATCTCTTAATTAACAAAATACACTATTATTTGCAGGTCACCTTTAAAGCAAAATTACTCTTATTGCTGAAATCCTTCTGCCTACAAATTTAAATTGAGTGTAACATTAAGGCTTTCTGTGACTTTTTGCCAGGTACCATTCAACCAGCCAGCCACGAGGATCTCACAAATTCTTGCTCAATCTAATTTGGTAGTAGAGCACCGGGTACAGGACACCAGGGTAATTTCACACCAGCAGCCCATGCGATGGTTAGACCAGGGAGATGAATATTAGGAAACCATGGCTCTAGTCCTTTCACAAAAAAAAACTAATGGTTGTTTCAACATGTTTGTTCTGGTCTTCGGTTTCAGCTTCGTAAGGGCTACAAAGATGATGAGGGGCCTGGAGCATCTCGCTCATGAGGAGAGGCTGAGGGACTTGAGGCTTTTTAGTCTGGAGAAGAGAAGGCTGAGGGGGGATCTGATCAATGCTGATAAATATTTAAAGGGAAGGTGTCAAGAGGATGGGGCTGGTCTTTTTTCAGGGGTTCCCAGGGATAGGACAAGAGGAAATGGGCACAATCTTGAATGTAAGAAGTTCCACTTAAACAAGAGGAGGAACTTCTTTCCTGTGAGGGTGGCAGAGCCCTGGGAGAGGCTGCCCAGGGAGGTGGTGGAGTCTCCTTCTCTGGAGACATTCAAACCCACCTGGACACGTTCCTATGCAACCTGCTCTGGGTGGCCCTGCTTTGGCAGGGGGGTTGGACTAGATGATCTCCAGAGGTCCCTTCCAACCCCATATCATTCTGTGATGCTGGTTTAAAACTCTTCGATGAAAGGGTCCACACAAACGCTGTACCTTTGTGTTACATACAAAGGATTATGAACCATGAAAGAAAAATAGAAAAAGTGGTAGGCATGGCATAGCAAGGCCTACCAAAGCATCACAGTAAGGAGAAAATACCACTCCTCTGCCTTCAAAATGCCTCTCAGCTGCTTCTCAGTAATACAAACGGCTGAATGTCTGTTCCTGGCCACCCTGCTCCCTGGCTGGGTTGGTGGGACAGGTCCCTGCTCCCTGGCCACCCCATGGGTCCTCCCGTGGCCCCCGGGACCTGCTGCAGAAGCAAACGCAAACAGCAGCGAGAAGAAGGAGCTGAGAAAGGTGAGGAGACTCACAGGTAGCATGGTGCTTGCCTGGGACACCACCAGGTGCGTGGAGGATAAGGCAGGCACTGTTGACAGCAGTATCCTGGAGACAGCCTGCTGTCCCCTAAGAACTGCAGATCCTGGTAAGGATCCTGGTACAGCACTGTGGACTGGGACTCATAGTCTGTGTGCTTTGCTCCTTCCCAGCTCTGCCAAGCAGCCTCCCCGGGGAACATTTCAGTCCAAACAGGGAAAATTAAGTGCTTTCCATGCGATGACATCTCCACAGCCCCTCATTTGGGCTTCTGTGCTCTCTGACAGCTGGGAGCTGCACAGGTTTTCCTGGTTATTGGCCCAGGGCTGGCAGAAGCACCTGGTCCCTCTGGTATGGGCACTGATGTCTGTATCATGTTAAAACATGCTTTAGTTTGGGACTTCACAAGGTTTACAAGCGTATCTACCAGGTCGCCGGCCTGTGACCCGACCTACATCCATCCATGAGCAATCAGCTCAAGATTTGCAAGTTGCCCCTGGAAATAATTCCCGTCCGTTCAGGCAGGTCACTTAAGGTCATGACTTTGAGGGAGAAGTTGTGATCTTCGGGATGTCGCCAAGCATTTGCTTTTTGCAAGCGGAGGATCTCTCATACTCAGCAGTCACAGCGGATCAGTGTCATGTCTAACTGGTAATCATTAGATCGCACCCAAAAATCGGTCCAAGTTGTATCGACAAAAGCACTTTTTCCCAGTAGGAGTCAAGTTTCCATGAAGGGTGAGGTCTCACATTGCAGCTAAGCCAACCTTAATAGCTGGTTGTTGATGGAAGAGGCATTCTTCCTGCCATCAAAGTTTTCCCATCATTTATTTTCGTGTTGATTCTTTATCTTCTCTGTCCCCACAGCAAGGCGGCTCCCCAAACTGTCAAAACCAGTAATCCGGCAAAAATTAATGGGAAGCTTTCTATTGAGTTAGCATTTTACACCAGTTCATGGTGGAGTCAGAGAAGGGCCAGGGAAGATGCAGAGAAAGGTAATGGGACAGGGAGGACTCCACCTCTCAACAGACCAGGCCAGCTATAAGGCAAAAACCAGCCACAATCTAGGAATATTTTGTTAGTACAGATGCACTAAGCCAGCATGTACTTTGAAGAGATGAAAATACTTAAGACTTTTAGACACATCAGTTCAATAAGGCAGAAGGAATGTTTCCTGTGCTTTCAGCTCTTAATTCATTTCAGCTCTCATCATTCATTTTTGCAATAGTCTCTAACTAGGGAAAATACTCCCAAGAGCAGCACTGAGATGTTCATAACCGCATGGAAGAACACATGGACAATGCAACATGAAGAAGGAAAATTTCCATAAAACAACCTGTCCCTAGCTTCCCCCCACTTCCACATCCTTCCAAACCCTGCATCTTTTCTCCTGTCAGTACTCTTTAGAGGTTTATCCACAGCAAACACAAATAGTTCATGTATAGCTAAATAAGAATCTCAAATCAGCCTGAAAATTCAGCTCTGGCTCCGTTCTCTACACCCATGACTACTGTCAGTACTCTTTAGAGGTTTATCCACAGCAAACACAAATAGTTCATGTATAGCTAAATAAGAATCTCAAATCAGCCTGAAAATTCAGCTCTGGCTCCGTTCTCTACACCCATGACTACTTTTTTTTTTTTCCCTTTTCTTTTTTTTTGCCAATCGCATTGTGTATGTTGTGTTTCCAGTTGCTATTGCAGGCTGCCAAGTACATATCTATGACTTGGCAGCCAAGTTACATATTTAAGAGGATGAGAGAAGCAGGTTTGTGAACGACCTCAAACCTCACCCAAGGCAGCCAGGCAACAGTATAGAAATAGGCTTCCCATCAGGGGGATGGGGGAAGGTATGGAACTGATGGCTCATCAACTCGTTTTTATAGAGTGGGGCTGTCATTGCCCTCAGGAGACCATCAGTCTATCTTGGCTGTAGTAAAAGTTGTGCCCAAAAGAACTGGGAAAAGTAAAGGTCAAGTTGCAGATAGTCAGGACCACCGCTGTTAGCGTTCGTGGTGCATGAGGCAGGGGAGACAAACCTTCAGCTCTACTCGAGTTGGGAGCAAATTGGCCCAAACAGCTCAGATGAAAGATGGGGAGAAACTAAGGGTGAGAAATACCAACAGGGAGAACAACTGTGAATGTAAAGACTGGGACTGAGAGCCAAAGACGGAGCTGGCTAGACAAGCAGGGAAGGTCTGGAAATCAGCACAGCAGATGGGTAACTAGCAGAAAACGAAGAAAATCTGGAAGGGATTGGTGAAAAGAGGGACAGAATTTGCCCTGACCAAGCACAGGGGCCAGGACAGACAACAATGTTAGGAGGAACCCCATGACTGACTGAGTTACTGGGGCAGGAGACTTGGGATGCTCAGGTGCAGCACTGTACTACCTTTAACCACGTGCGTGCTGGAGGACATCAGTTCAGCCCAGGTATTTCACGGGTGCAGAAGTGAACACCAAACTTCCCACCCTTGCTGATGGCCCAAGTGGGTATCAGTCTGAAAACAAAAATAATTAAAAGCCTGGCACTGCGTAGCAGAGGAGATTAGCGTCTGTTGGATCCCTGCTTCAGCTGTTGCAAGAGTTGGAAGCTCTAAAATGAGTGAGCCAGAAGATTACAAGAAGTGAAATTAAGGCGTAATGGTTGAAGCAGTTGAAGGCTACGTGGGAAGCTGATTTCCATATGGACTTCAGTCGCAGAGTGCCAGGCAAATCACCTCAACCCGCATTTAACCCTAATGACCACAATTTGCATGCTCTTTTCTCTCTGAGCAAATGGCCTGGCTTCATGGAAATCTGAAATGCAGGACCAGGAACCCACAGATGTGACCAAAGCCAACATGAACTCCACTTTGAACAGTCAAAGAAGTGTCTAATACAAGCATGTCTGAAAAAAACAGTTCCTTGGCACTTCCAGTGCCCCATAATAGACAGATGGCTTTTGGCTTGCTGTGATTCATTTTATCACCTTCTCTCTGTGGGAATTATACACATCTCAGGGGTAAAAACTAAATGCTTGATGTTGTGAAGCATTCAAGATGCGATGGTGATGAGATTCACAGGCAACATCCTAAGGGATAATTCTTCTCCAGAGCTGGGGCTGGACAGCACATAGTAAATCAGGTGCATATAGAACTGGGAAATACTACTTTCCTAGAGTATACACTGCCAACTGTGTGCACTGACTGAGGCAGGTGCCCTACAGAAGAAAAAAAGATTTTTAAAACCTGTTACCGTGTAATTAAAAACTGGGTTATGATGCATAAGCACAACGAAAGAAGAAATAGGCTTGCTCTAATGGTCATAATTCTGAACAAGTGACCTTGCAGCCTTAATAGGCTTCTTTTAATGTTGTTTCTTGTGGTGTTTGTGTGTCCATGTGTCCCAGTAGCTGAGAACACTCAACAGTAGGCAAATGTATCCATTCTTTAGGTATATCTAATGTTTAACTCGGATATCACACCCAGAAAATAAACACATGCATAAACTCAACAAAAATATCACTGACTCACCATCCAGTCATTCACCTCTTTTCTGCTTCTTGTTTCTCCTCGCCGCATCAAGTCCCTGCCTTCCATACCCATCATATTAATTTCCTCCTCTCTTCCCAGGGACAGTTAAATGTCAGCCCTGGCTTCTCTGGGAATATTAAGACTCTGTGTGCACGCACTGCTGTTTGTATTAGACATACAAGTACAGAACTCAATTTCACAGTAGCTAATACTTAGTCCATGACTACGCCATTTACCTGCCAAGTGCTTCTGCCTGCTAATTAAAAACAGGATCATGCTATATGAATGGAATAAATAACGTCCTTAGGCATGATACTATGAGCCCTGGTGTGGTTTTTCCACACCATCGAAGCTCCTAATTCTTTGTTTTCAGCAATTTTCAGAGTTCGTGCACGTTAACGCGGCTGTATCTCAGCCCCATCCCTCAGGTGACACAAAGTGAAGGGTAGGTAGATAGCTGCACTGTAACTTCTGGAGAAATATTGTGTCCCATCAAATCCTCCTCTTCCAGGGACAGCAGCCCCAGCCTTGCCTTAGGTTCAGAGCCCGGTGGGCCTGGCTACTTGCCACGTTGAGTGGTGACCACAGCCGCAGGGCAAAGCCAGCTAAAGGCGTTCGATAGGCAAAGGCAGAATTAGCTACAGACTCCAGACCCAAGGTCTAAGAGAAATCAGGAGGCCACGGTGGCCTCGCATGGCTCATGCACCCCCAGGAGGCTTTCGGAGACCCAGAAAAACCAGTTGCACATTCTTTTACTGAAACCCTCGCGCAATTACTCCCTCTGCGTGGTTTTATCAGATGAGGTTATTGAACATTAGCAGTTGTCAGCTATTTTCATGCAGCTAAGCATTTGCCTTGTGCTCCCAACAATCAACCTTTTGTTATTAACATGCCTCTAACAGAAAAGGAGAAGCATTAACCTCACACTCAATAGGTATTTTCAAAAAAAGAATTTTGATTCTGTGTCTGAGATGCTCAGAAATCTATGGAGCTTATAAAAACTGACAGAGCCTAGTTTTTAGTTCTTCCGTAGGATATAATAACCATCTCCCTGCTATAGAATGAGGGGGGAAAAAAAGGTGAGAATTTAATATAGATGTACTGTATTCAAGTACGTCTCTATTCACTTCTGTGAGCTTTGAAGGTAATTGTTGCAGAGAACTTTATTTTTAGGTTCTAGTTTATTCCAGAGACTTTTTAGCTTAGAATTTTTAGCTTAGTTATCTTCCCCCTGTAGTGCCACAGCTAGGACTAAAGATTTGCTAGCCTCTGTTGTCTTTAACCGGGCTGTGTTAGTCCCCTTTGCAAACAGGTTGCCAACGAGATCTGCAGCAGGAAGGCAAGGAGTCTGCCAAATGAGGAATAAACGTGGTTTGGAAAGAAAGATATTTACTTTTTTTCAGACCCAGCCTGGCAAAAAGAAATGCTGCTTTCAGCTATGAGATGTGACTGCTGGACTGTCAGTTCAACCAATAGAAAATATTCCACCACG